ACAGTGTTGTTTAATATTTGGATCCCATGGCCCTATATAAAGTAAATCGAAATTTTTATTGCGTTTGTGTAATTGAAAAGTGCTTAATTGTCGGATAAGTATGAATGTCCACATGTGGAATGAAATGAGATTGTGGAAGGAAGGGGTATTACAGATAAGTTTAATGGCAGTGCAGAAATCTGGTGAAAATGGACATTTTGTGATCCGCCATGCATCAAATGTATAGAAGATTAGGTAAGTTAGTTTTTTATTATTTGAGGATATTATTTTTATGCATTGTTCTAAATGTAAGAGTAAATAAATTAATATGGTATTATTGGAAACTTGTTTTAGCAATGATTTAGTTTAAGTAATTAGGATTGAAGCTATTTTTATTAATTTAATGTATGTCTTTTATATTTAAGTAGTGTTTTTAATTTAATTATATTTTAATTAAATGATCGTGATTTTGAGAGTTATATGTTGTAAATTTTGGAATACGTTTGAGTAGAAGTAAATGTGCTGGAAAAGAATTTAAGTATTTGACACTAAGTATTTGAACCATTTTATGTTTGCGTTTAGAAATTGGGTGACGTTTATATAGATAATTTAGAGGTAAAAGTTTTTTGGATATTTTATTTATTTATACGTGCAAATGTTCATACTTGGAAGGGTATATACTTTTCACGATCAGGTAATTTCATATATGTCCTTTTTACGAATTTAAAGATTCACAAAATTTTCATGCATTTTCGTGAAATTTTTCTAATTTATGAGAAAAAAGCAGTGTACATGGATATAGTGAAGAGTGTGCGCAATGCCATTTTTGCATTCTGGGATTTTTTTTAATAAATAATCGCGTTCATGGTTTTTTATATTTTAATTAAATGAGTTTTTTGGAATGTTTGCATTGGTATTGTCAGTTAAGTAAACGTGTTATAAAAATTTACATGATTTTAGTATGGCTGATCTTTGGAATATGGTAATGGTATTAGTTTGGCGACATTTTGGAGGCGATAAAGGTTACTACCTGGGACTTTGGTAATAATGTGAGCAGTACTCAGTTCCGATTACGCATTATTTTGTGTGAGGGAAATGAGAGATCATGGGATATGTCATGTGATATTAATGGACGAATTACGGTTCTTTAATCGGAAAAGGGGGGGGGAATTTGGAAAAATATCTGTGGCTGTATATTATTTTGTATTAAGCTTCATTGTGTGTTGTGTGAAGTAGGGTTGAATAATTTTGGGATTGTATGGCGCTGTCTAAAGTGAATTCTAGATTTTTAATGCGTTTGTGTGATAATTCAAAAGAATTGGTTGAATGGTGCATGATTGTAGGAGTGTAGGTTTAATTGCGGATAAGTATGAATGTCCAAAATGTGGGAATGAAATGAGATTGTGTGAAAGGAAGGATATTACTGATAAGTTTGAATGGCGGTGCAAGAAATCTGGTGAAAATGGACATTTTGTGAAACGGAGTGTAAGGAAGGGTACGTGGTTTGCTGAAAGTCGTTTGAGTATGGGTGAGATTTTATTGATTTCTTATTATTGGGTGAATAGATTGCCAGTTGACTATTGGATTTCGGATTTAGAAATTAGCAGTAGGACTGCAGCTGATTGGAATTCTTTTTGTAGGGAAGTGTGCGTGGAATTTTGCGAAAATGATATGGGTATGCTTGGTGGTATGAATGTTATTGTGGAAATTGATGAGAGTAAGTTTGGGAAGCGGAAGTATCAGAGAGGTAGGAGAGTGGAAGGAAAATGGGTGTTTGGTGGGATTGAAAGGGGTAGTAATAAATGTTTTTTTAAGGTTGTGCGAGATAGAAGTAAAGATTGTTTATTAAGTTTTATAAAAGAATATATTCTACCGGGTACTATAATTATTTCAGATTGCTGGAAATCGTATGAATGTTTGGAAGATGAAGGTTTTAAACATCTTGCTGTGAACCACAAATATTATTTTAAAGATCCGGAAACAGGTGCACATACCAATACAATAGAGGGCACGTGGAGTGCTATAAAAAGCGCCATTCCGAGGCATTGTGATAAAGAGAATTTTGCTTTTTATTTAGCGGAGGAAGTGTGGAGGAAAAATTCGCAGAAAAAATCGTTCAATAATTTTATTGAATCCATAATAAAAGTGTATCCACCATGTAAGCAAGATTCTGAAGAAGATTAGGTAAGTTAGTATTTTTAATTATTTGAGGATATTATTTTTATGCATTGTTCTAAATGTAAGGTGGAAGTAAAGTAATTTGGTATTATTGGGAAAATTGTTATTAGCAATGATTTAGTTTAAAGTAATTAGGATTGTAAGCTAATTTTTATTAATTTAATGTATGTGCTTATTTATATTTTAAGTAGTGTTTTTGAATTTAATTATATTTTAATTAAATGATAGTTATTTTGTGAATTTTATGTTTGTAGGAATTTGGTATACGTTTTAGTTGAAGTAAACGTGCATGGAAATAATTTAAATATTTGACACTAAGTATTTGTAATGCTTGCGGTATGAATTCGTTGGTGACGTTTATAATATAATAGATGATTTAGAGGTAAAAGTTTTTGGATATTTTATTTATTTTATATGTGGAAATGTTCATATTTGGAAAGGGTATATACTTTTTCGCGATCAGGTAATTTCATATATGTCTTTTTTACCGGGTTTAAAGATTGAGAAAATTGTCATGTATTTTCGTGAAATTTTTCTAATTTATGAGAAAAAAGCAGTGTACATGGATATAGTGAAGAGTGTGCGCAATGCCATTTTTGTGCAATTCTGGGATGTTTTTTTTTAAGTAAAAATAAGTCGACGTGTACATGGTTTATGTGTATGTTTATTTTGAAAAAAACGCGTAAGGAGTATGGTATTGTGCACTTTTTCCCAATTTTGCAGTGAATATTTGTCATGATTAAGCAGTTTTGTTAGATAAAATTTCTAGCATAAGTGTAATTCGGCTAGTAGATTGTTGGAAGAAGTGTTCAGTAGATAAAAAGAAAAGAAACATGTCTTTACTTCGTGAAAAAAAAAAAAAAAAAAAATAGAGGGTTGCTGTAGGAGAGTTGGTCGCCAAATTTCGCAAAAAACGCCAAGTTCCTAATCCAAGATCAACTGTAACCATTTATGTTTTGTATAATCGTTGTGATTTAATAGATTTTGAGGTAAAAGTTTTTAGATATTTATTTCTATTAGGAAATGTTCATCCTTAGATATTTATTTTTTGCGGTAGGTAATTCATAATGTGCTTTTTACAGAGTTTAAAAGATTAAACTTTCCTGCATTTCGTGCAAATTTTTGTAATTTATGAGAAAAAATAGCAGTTTAGATGGATAAAGTGAAGAGTGTGCGCAATGCCATTTTTGTGCAATTATGGGATTTTTTTAAGTAAAAAAGTGACGTGTACATGGTTAGTGATATTTTAATTAAATGCTAATATTTTGTGATTTATGTTTGTAGGAATTTGGTATACGTTTCAGTTGAAGTAAACGTGCATGGAAATAATTTAAATATTTGAATTAAGTATTTGTAATGCTTGCGGTAGGAATTCGTTGGGCGACGTGTATAATGTAATAGATGATTTAGAGGTAAAAGTTTTTGGATATTTTATTTATTTTATATGTGGAAATGTTCATATTTGGAAAGGGTAATACTTTTCGCGATCAGGGTAATTTCATATATGTTCTTTTTAGGGGTTTAATGATTGAGAAAATTGTCTGTATTTTCATGAAATTTTCTAATTTATGAGAAAAAAAGAGTGTAGAGGAAAGTGAAGAGTGTGCACAATGCCATTTTTGTGCAATTCTGGGATTTTTTTAAGTAAAAATAGTCGACGTGTAACATGGTTATGTGTATGTGCGATTTGAAAAAAGGCGGAAAGAGTTTGCAATTCTGCACTTTTTCCCAATTTGCGGTTATATTTGTCATGATTAAGCAGTTTTGTTTCATAAAATTCTAGCAAGTGTAATTCGGCTACAGATGTTGGAAAAAGTGTTGAGTAAATAAAAAGAAAAGAACTGTCTTTACTTAAAATAGAGGGTTGCTGTAGCAGAGTTGGTCCACATTTTCTCCAAAAAATCGCCAAGTTACCATAATCCAAAGATAACCGCCATTTTTTGTGCTATTCTGGGATTTTTTTTAAGAAAAAAAGTCGGCGGTACATGGTTTATGTGTATTGTATTTGAAAAACGCGTAAGGAGTAGGTATTGTGCACTTTTTCCAATTTTGCAGTGAAATTGTCATGATTAAGCAGTTTTGTTGATAAAATTTCTAGCATAGTGTAATCGGCTAGTAGATTGTTGGAGAAGTTCAGTAGATAAAAGAAAAGAAACATGTCTTTGCGGGGAAAAAAAAATAGAAGGTTGCTGTAGGAGAGTTGGTTGCCAAATTTTCGCCAAAAAATCGCCAAGTTACCATAATGTAAAGATCAACCAAAATGGCATTGCGCACACTCTTCACTATATCCATGTACACTGCTTTTTTCTCATAAATTAGAAAAATTTCACGAAAATACATGACAATTTTCTCAATCTTTAAACCCGGTAAAAAGAACATATATGAAATTACCTGATCGCGAAAAAGTATTTACCCTTTCCAAATATGAACATTTCCACATATAAAATAAATAAAATATCCAAAAACTTTTACCTCTAAATCATCTATTATATTATAAACGTCACCAACGAATTCATACCGCAACATTACAAATACTTAGTGTCAATATTTAAATTATTTCCATGCACGTTTACTTCAACTAAAACGTATACCAAATTCCTACAAACATAAAATTCACAAAATAACTATCATTTAATTAAAATATAATTAAATTCAAAAAACACTACTTAAAATATAAATAAGCACATACATTAAATTAATAAAAATTAGCTTACAATCCTAATTACTTTAAACTAAATCATTGCTAATAACAATTTTCCCAATAATACCAAATTACTTTACTTCCACCTTACATTTAGAACAATGCATAAAAATAATATCCTCAAATAATTAAAAATACTAACTTACCTAATCTTCTTCAGAATCTTGATTACATGGATTTAAACTTTTTTGAAACACTGTTTCACACAACACAAATAAGCCAAATACAAATTTCCAGATTTTTTCCCGATTTCCCCTTTTCCGATTAAAGAACCGTAATTCGTCCATTAATATCACATGACATATCCCATGATCTCTCATTTCCCTCACACAAAATAATGCGTAATCAGAACTGAGTACTGCGCACATTATTACCAAAGTCCCAAGTAGTAACCTTTATCGCCTCCAAAATGTCGCCAAACTACCAGTTACCATATTGTAAAGATCAACCCATAAAATAACTAAAAGTTTATTAACCAAAAAAAATCCCCCAAAAATGTAAAAAAAATTAAGGCCAATACTTTTTTCCAGGGTGGGAGGCCTAAAATTTTAACAAGCAGATTTGAAAAAGTTTGTAATAAATCCCAATTTAACAAAAAATTGAGTCACATTTCAAAGTAAAGAGCTTTAGACTGTTTTTTAATTTTGTTTTCACAATCTAATGATGTATTTTTTAATCATTTTCTGATTCAAAAACAGTCACTGAAAACTATTCCAGAAATTAAATGCCTGGTAATAATCTCAACAGATCCTATCAAAAAGAAATTATTATTTTTATTTTTTCATATAATTTTCTAATCATACAAAGCCAAACATATCATATTTACTAGAAAGTAAAATTCCCTTGAATATAAGACTCCTTTACATTTTAGGAATAATTTTTACGAAATATAAATGTAGATGAATATTGAATAAGAACACAGTTTTAATAAAATTCATTACTTTCTGATCAGAGTAAAAGGCAAACTACCCAATTAAATTTACTATAGTATTACAATTTTACTATAGATAGAAAAACTGATACATTATTACTGTTTGCTTATAGACATACCAGTAATCAATCCAGTCAATGCAGAATTAAACTGAAATCATTCAACTAGAACCATCTATTACAATTATCAGTAGTTACATGGTTTATATATGAAGTAATTTAATATTCATTGTAAGGTTTATTTAACATTTAAACAACGTGGTTATCTTACACAGTACGATAATTTCCCGCCTTCCTCTCATTCAGACGTTTTATTTATTAAAATATCAGATTACAAGACCCTACCAAATTTTAAAACAATTAAATGACAAATGATATTCATCCTTCATTTTGAGTCAAGCAGCATTACTGCATCTGCAATTTACAAATAAGCAATTAAATAAAATTGACCACTTTATTAAAAAAACACTACATTTTGTTTATTTTTTAACCATAAATAGCAAATTTATAACATTCTTTCATTTTCTGTAATGGAAATCTACCACTTGCATGAATTTCAGTTATTTAAAATTTTAAAGCATCATATTTTTGCTTGAAGGTTTTAGATATCAAACTTGCTCCATGCTCTCCATTTCAGCCTCACGAATAACAAAAAATAATGACAAAGATAAGAACAATGTGAAACCAATTAAAAAATAATAAATTTGACAATAAAGTTCTAAGTTAGCAGAACCTCTTACAAGTATTTCTGAACTTGCCATTTCTACTTACCAAACCAATAATGTAAAATTCTTCCATACATTAATCATAATTTAGCTTTCATTAAGTACAATTAACATGCAATGAAACATAACACAGAAGAAGGCTAAAGTATGTTTGTTAAACATATTACAAAACATTTCTGATTATATACGGACTCACTAAATATTTACACGACTTTTTTAAATATTCCATATGTGAAAATTCTTGCTGTAAAAGAAGAGCAATTTGCAGTATTTTCTACTTTAACTTATGTTGTATATATTACTGAGTAATCATTTAAAAAATTATTTAAACAACGCAATAGGTAAATAAATAACAATATATAGCTGAAAGTAACAGTTAAGATGCAACAACGGAAATACTTCCATAATCACCATAAATTTAATTCATACATTGTTTACAAAAGCTAAAAAAATACTAATTATTCCTTCTATTATCGTGATTAATAAATATAATCAGCTTACCATAAGAAACACACAAAATGAGATGAGCAG